TGCAGTGAGCTATGATCGTGCCACTGCACTCCAGCCTGAGTGACAAGACTCTGTTTCTTAAAAAAGGTTGGAGGGGGGTGGAACTAACGTGCCTTATTATGAGTATGGAATGCATATGACATAATGCACCTGGATATTGACTAATCTTTTTCATAGCCAACTCCAACAGTCCCTTTTTTTTTTACAGTAAATGTCTAATATATATAATCTCCTGCCTTAAATGTCTAAAAAAGATACACAAAATGTATGAATGAACTTCATCAGACATTGGGAAGTGAAGGGCTCAGGATGGCTTTCCATGAGAGAAAGGAAGCAATGAAATGAGCCTTATGATTGCCCCAGCTTAGTGCTTGGAGAAAGTTTCCAGCCTGCAGCAATGAGAGGAGAAAGCCAAGCAGATCCCAGCCATCTTTCTGAATTGAGACAGAGTTTAGGGTTTGAGGAATTCAAGGTGACCCAAATTCATGAGTTGGATTACTGGAGAAGAGCTGCACTCAGGAATTGAGAGTTCTATTGAGTTTCCCCCACAAGCCTTTGAGTCGTAATCAGCAGATGTATGTGAGGAAAACCCTCCTAGGCTGGAGGAAGAACAGGAAGAAATGAACATGCAGAAAAATCCTTGGATTATACACAAGGTTGGGAGTAATTGGCATTTCCACCAGCTGGAATGGAAACGCCTCTTAACATTTGGAGAATCACAGTGGACCTTAAGTAAGAAGTATTGCCTCTGTGGGTGGCTCAGATTTGCTGTACAGTAAAGGCTGACTGGAACCCTCTTTAGAAAGCATACATGCAATCCACGAAAAGGCCAGACTTTCCAAGTAATTTAGCAGTTTTCCAGACAGAGACTAATAAAGAAATAGAAAGCAGTCTATCAGTCAGTACTTGGCCATGTCTGGCATCCAATCAAAAGTTACCCAGGTGTGCAAAGAAGCAGGAAAATATAACCCCATAACATGAAGAAAAGTCAGTAGAGACCCAGAAGTGACACACTGATAGCAGAAAAGGATGTTAGAAACAGCTGCTATAAATGTCCCATATGAATCAAGTGGATTATAAAAATTATAATTTACTGATGGGTTCCCCCCACCTGAACAAGAGGCAGATGAAGCTCAGTGTAGGCACAGGAGCCAATGCCCCTAGGATGTTCATCCTCCCAGGGAGGCACCAGAAGGAAGCAGTTGCCAGCAGTTGAAACCAGGTTCCCTGGGAGGCAGAAGCAAGCTCAGCTGAATTTGTGGAGCGTAGTCTACCCAGTGTTTAGCCCCTCTTTACCTTTTCTGGGAACTGAGGCTTCTGAGCAGGGCTGCTGAGCTTCCTAGGAAGTGTAGTTTGGCCATGGGCAGTGCCTGAGACACCTGTGCTGGGCTGTTGAGGTTTCTGGGAAGTATAGTTAGGAGGCCTAACAACTGTTACTCTAGGTAGCGGCTGGTGTGTCCTGACTGTTTAGCCCCTGTAGGGGTTTCTGTCACACATCTGCCTTTGGCCATTTTTCTCCACGTGAGTGAATTCTATCTGGGTTTCAAGGCAGTTGAAGAGGGTAACAGTCAGAACCTTAGCCAGTGCTTGCTGGGGCAGCATTATGAGGGAATTGGCCTTGGGCATATTAAGTCTGAGCTCATCTGGCAGTTCTGCTTTGGCCGGGACAGACTTTGGTGGGTCAGACCCAGTCAGTTCATGGTGAGTCTGCCCTGCTGTGTGGCTGAGGTGGGAAGCAGCCCTACAGAATCCCGTTGTTGTGTGGGACATGTTTGCCCTTGTTCTTCCTGCCATCATGGGCCAGATGGATCCCATGTTGGAGGCTGGGGAGGGCACTCAGGGCATGGGTCTTACTTAACCTTACTCTGCTGACTTTCTCCTTTTACACGCCAGATAAAACTTTTTTAGGTGTGTAGGTGTCTGTGTGTCCTATGGGGTGTCCAGAACTGGCCTATTAACTGCATCACTGTTAACAGAAAGCTTCTAGAACAGTGTCTACAGTGCAGTGCTTTGAGGACTAAGTCAGCAACTTTTAAATAGAACTTTTGTTACAAGTGGGAAGATGATTTATGTATAAAGAAATTTGACACACTTAAAAACTTACAACTCCTGGTGCACAGATTTATAGATTCCATCCACTTTGTCTTGATTCCCAGTTTAGAACTTGGGTCTGTAGATTCTAGAACCTGTCAGACCTCAGAGTAGAAGTTCAGTGTCAGCTCTCCCACCAGAACTTGCATGACTGTGATCCCATGCAAGGGAGAAGACAGTCCAGGTTCTCATTGCCTTGCTCTGTATCTGTATTTAGGGGTGGGGGTAGAGAACTGGAAATTCCTCATTGGTGCTGATTAGTCTGCCCTCCGAAGGCTTTTTTCCAACCCTAGCTTTGTTTTTTTTGTTTGTTTTTGTTTTTGTTTTTTGTTTTTTTGAGATGGAGTTTTGCTCTTTTGTCCAGGCTGGAGTGCAGTGGCATGATCGTGGCTCACTGCAACCTCTGCCTTCCAGTTTCAAGTGATTCTCCTGCCTCAGTCTCCTGAGTAGCTGGGATTACAGGTGCCCACCACCACACCTGGCTGCATTTTTTTTTTTGTATTTTAATAGAGATGGGGTTTCACCATGTTGGCCAGTCTGGTCTCAAATTCCTGACCTTGTGATCCGCCCACCTCGGCCTCCCATAGTGCTGGGATTACAGGTGTGAGCCACCACACCTGGCCAGCTTTGTATTTTTAAAAAGTTGTCCTTCATTAAGGGAGGGAAATTGAGTAATTGTCACAATTCTAAAAGCTGGGCCTCTCTCTGAAATGTTTCCTTTACTCTTGATAAGAGATCTTTTGTCAGATGTTCAGAATCAGAAAAGACAACAGCTAGATCATACCTTAGAAATAATAGCCTTTTCCTAAGAACCGAAGAAAACCATAAAAGCCCTGGTGAGGTTTTGTTTCTTACTTTTGCCTTTCTTTCCAATGGCTTTGCAAGGCTTCAGACAAATAACTATTAAATGGAAATACATTTCTAATTTAAAAATTTCAGAAACCATCAAATCAAGGTTCAGGCAAAGATAGAATGAGGAAATGTAGCTTCATACAGAGTGCCTTAAGTTTGAATACAGGTGAATAAATATGTAAGAATGTATGATGTACTTAAGTTTCTGGTTTTGTTTGTTTTGTTTTTTTGAGACAGAGTCTTACTCTGTTGCTCAGGTTGGAATTCAATGGCACAGTCTTGGCTCACTGCAACCTCTGCCTCTTGGGTTTGAGTGATTATCTTGCCCCAGCCTCCTGAATAGCTGGGATTAAGGTGTGCCACCACGCCTGGCTAATTTTTGTATTTTTAGTAGAGATGGGATTTCACCATGTTGGCCAGGTTGGTCTCAAACTCGACCTCAAATGATTTGCCCACCTCAGCCTCCCAAAGTGCTGGAATTGTAGGCATGAGCCACCACAACTGGTCTGTTTCTGATGTTTCTGGTGTCAATAATATATTAATTTTCTGTTGATGCCAAAACAGATTCTCACAAACATTTAGCAGCTTGAAACAACACAAATTTGTTATCTCCCAGTTCTTTAGGTCAGAAGTCTGGATTGGCTTGATTGGTTTCTTTGATCTGGATTTCAAAGACTGAAGTCAAGGTGTGGGCCAACAGGGCTCTTACTGGAAGACTCTGGGAGGAATCCATTTTCAAGCTTATTCACGGTGTTGGCAGACTAATTCTGAGATTTGTTTCTTTGCTGGCTGTCAGCTGGGGGTTGTTCTTATTTATTTATTTTACTTTTTTTTTTTTTACTTTTAATTTTTTTTTGAGACAGGGTCTTGCTCTGTCACCCAGGTTGGAGTGCAGTGGTGCAATCTCGGCTCACTGCAACCTCTGCCATAGTAGATGTTGAATCTGCCGAGCTGGAAGTGTGTCAGTTCCAGAAACATTTCTGTGCTGTTCATAGACACCTCCCATCAAGCCCAATTATAAGTGTTCAAGTCTGTCATTTCCCATAAACAGGCTCTCAAGCTACCAAACCAGATATCTTTAATTTTTTTTCTTTTTTTTTGTTTTGTTTTTGAGATAGAGTCTTGCTCTGTCACCAGGCTGGAGTGCAGTGGCACCATCCCGGCTCACTGCAGTCTCTGCCTCCTGGGTTCAAGCAATTCTCCTGCGTCAGCTTCCTGAGTAGCTGGGATTACAGGCGTGTGCCACCACACCCAGCTAATTTTTGTATTTTTAGTAGAGCTGGGGTTTCACCATGTTGGCCAGGATGGTCCTGATCTCCTGACCTCATGATCTTCCCGCCTCAGCCTCCCAAAGTGCTGGGATTACAGGCATGAGCCACTGCACCCAGCCAGTGATATTTAATTTCAAACATGGAGAAGAGTCATGGAGAATAGAGGGTAAAATGCGAGGTCAGTGCATTTCAGGTGAGTGAGAACCAACAAGATGGGAGACCTGGAAAGTAAAGTAACTGGTCATGAGGGGTGGACCCCTTCCAAATGTGTTTAACAGGGCTAAGACTTGGAAGGTGACTACAGATACCTAGATCGTTGATGAGGCTCTCTTGTTTGGCGTTTCAAAGAAAATGTGCCTTTTTTCTCTTTATATTGACTCAGATTCTCACAATTGCCACATCATCACAGCACTACCTTTTTTCCTGGGGTAAGGGTATTTGGCCTGATTTTTGTATTTCCTAGAGACCTCAGTGAGTCATATGAGAATGTATCAAAGCAACCTAGAAGGTGGGAGTGCTCACCACAGTGGTGTTCCTGTAAATATGGTGTTAGAAGTCTTTGGGAAGGCCGGTCTTGGTGGCTCACACATGTAATCCCAGCACTTTAGGAGGCCAAGGTGGGTGGATCACCTGAGGTCAGAAGTTCGAGACCAACCTGGCCAACATGGCGAAACCCTGTCTCTACTAAAAATACAAAAATTAGCTGGGCATGGTGGCGAGTGCCCTGTAATCCCAGCTACTCCAGAGTCTGAGGCTGGAGAATTGCTTGAACCTGGGAGGTGAAGGTTGCAGTGAGCCAAGATTGTGCCATTGCACTCCAGCCTGGGTGACAAGAGCGAAACTCTGTCTCAAAAAAAGAAAAGAGAAAAAAGAAATCTGTGGGAAAGTTCATTGACTGTTGCATTTAGAATTAAAGAAGAATGAATCAGTGAAACAGGATGACTGCACTTACCTTTATGTGAAGAGCTGAGAAGACTTCATTCTATCTTGCTTCCGACAGATGTTGGTTCCTAAGACTTAAGTTGGCCTCTTTTCTTGGTACTCATTGTTTGAACCTGATGGATGGACTTTTTCCATTCTCTGGGCATCTCCTTCTCCTAAAGCCTTCAGAGTCAGACAGCATAAGGGTAGTTCATCGTTATGGTAGTTTCCTTTCTTTGTTCCCAGTGTGATCTCTTCGATTTCATGGACTTAACAATACTATTTATATGCTGATGACTCACAGATTTCTCTCTACAGGCTAGATATTTCCTTATCCTCCTACATTTGCCTGGGAATTTCTTGGAGATCTAATAGCTGACTCAAACTTCAAGTCATCCTTGCTTCACCATTTCACTCATCCCACAAATGCAGTCCATTTAGCAAGTTTAGTCTTTCTCCTTATATCCCAAGGTCGTCTACTCCTTTCTCTAAGTTATTTTCACTCAAGCTTCGATGTCCATTATCTCTTGCCAAAATTATGATAGTTTTCTCTAATAGACTCTCAGTCCTTTACTCTTGTTTCTGTTCTCCACATAATACCCTTAAGGAATTTATTTTACTATTTTTATTTATAAAAATGAATATGGGAGTCAGGGGCAGGAGTCAATGTTTCTAGCCTCTCACCTCCAAAATCCCTAAACATTAAGATAAATTATCAGAAACATCTTGGTTCTTAAAGACTTCAGGTTCTGACAAAAGTGTGGAAGGTAATTAAAGCTTCATATAAGAAGGTAAATCTTAGTTGGAAGATGGAAATATCTAAATTATGGTCTAAAAATGTTATATGATATAGCAAATCTATACTCATTCACAGGGCACAAGCCTAAAAATATTTATGCTGTAATATTTAAGACAATGGTCAGTGTTAGTTACTGAAAAACATACACACAGGATGTTGCTTTTAAATTGGAAATCAGGACATGTCATCCTGCTCCCACTATCATTGGGAATGGCATCCTGTTACTGTTAGCACAAGATCCAAATTCTTTTCAGGATCCTCCTACAAGGGAGCATGCCATGATTTCTGCCTAGATGTTTTTGTTTACTTATTAATGAAAAATGTTTTGGTATAACATACATATAATGTAATTCTACAGCTAGGTAACTTTCTAGTCAGCACACTGTGCAACCAGCACCTAGATCAAGAATCAGAGTTCTGTGCAGAATGGCATTGGGTGAATATTACACTGTTTATCTGTTTTACATTCAGGCCATTATACTTAGTGTCCCTATGTATGTTTTTTATGAATATCTTTATTTATTTTTTCTTTTCTGCTTTTGAAAATGCTTATCTCCAAATGGTCTAGACTTAATGAGAAGTTCCAAAATAATATACAAATTTCTTGCACATTCTTTTTGCAAGTTCCCCAAAATATGATATTTTACCAATTTGCTTTATTTTATCTATACACACACACCACACACAGGTATGGTTTTTCTGAACTCTTTACCCTATAACTCAAGTGTGTATATCATAGAAAGAAGGGCATTCTTTTGTATAATCAGAATACTGTGATCAAAATCAAAATATTGACATTGATACAGTATTATTATCTAAACTACAGAGCTTACCAAATTTAACCATCTTACTAATATTTTTTATAGTAAATGGGAAAAGAAGCCCTTTTCTGGACCTCTTCTTGTTATCTCACTTACTCTGTTGTGCATACACTAGCTTTCATAACATCCGGAAGTCAGAGCTTGCTAATTATAACCAATTCTTTTGGAAAGAAATCATATGGATGCAATGAATGTGCAGTGAATACTTGTAAACTACTCATGACTATACCTGAGAGAACTCATGCAGGAAAGAAATCCCAGGAATATCATGATTTTAGGAGAGCCCTTCCTAGTGAGTTAAAGCTCATTGCTCATCAGCAAACTCAAAACAGGAGTGAGACCCTACTGATTTAATCAATGTCATAAAGCCTTCATTGCAAATTCAGGTCTTGTGTATCATCAGAAACCTCATCATAGAGAAGGGAAAGTCTGTACATGCAGTAAATGTGGAGAAGTTTTCCCTTGGAAGTCAAAACTCATTTTACATCAAAGAAATCATTCAGGAGAGAGACCATTCATTTGCAAAGTATGTGATAAAGGCTTCGTGGTTAGGACACATCTCACTGTACATCAGAGAGCTCACACAGGAGAGAAACCATATGCTTGCTCAGATTGTGAGAAAGCCATCTCAAAAAAGGCTTTACTCATGATTCATCAGTGAATCCACACAGGAGAGATACCCTATTAATGTGTTCAATGTCAAACAGCTTTGAAGACCAGATCTGAGCTCAGTTATCATCAGAAAGTTTTTCATAGAAAAGGAAAATTCTAGGGATGCAGTAAATGTGGGAAAGCTTTTCCTTGGAAGTCAAACCTCATTTTGCATCTCAGAACTCATTCAGGAGAGAGACCTTTCAGGTGCAAAGTCTGTCATAAAGCCTTCATTGTTAGAACACGGCTAACTATGCATCAGAGAACTCACACAGGACAGAAACCATATGCTTGCTTGGATTATGAGAAAGCCTTCTTGAAAAAGGCTCAGCCTATGAAGCATCGGTGAATTCACACAGGAGAAAGACCCTATAGATGCAGTGAATGTCAAGAAGCTGTCATCTGGAAGTTGGATCTCAACAATCATAAGAAAACTCATCATGCAGTAAGGAAATCCCATGAATGCAGTGAATGTGGGAAGGTTTTATCCTCCCCCAAAAAACTTTGTTATACATCAGAGAACCCATACAGGTGAGAAACCCTTCAAATGCAATGTATGTGATAAAGCCTTCACATTAAAGGGAAATATCATTGTATATCAGAGAACTCATACAAGAAATAAATAATATGAATGCTCAGACTGTGATAGGGCCTTCTCCAGTAAGGTATATCTCATGAATCATCAGCCAGTTCACTCAGGAGAGAGACCCTATCAATGCAATGAAAGTCAACAAGCTTTCACCCAAAAGACAGGTCTCACTAAGCATCATAAAACTTGCCATTCAAGAATGAAATCTTATGGATGCAGTGAATGTGGGAAGGTTTTGTCCTGTAAGTTAACTCTCATTATATAAATAACAGAGAACCCATACAGGTGAGAAACTCCTCATATGTAGCGTGTGTGATAAAGCCATCATAGTTAAATCCTGTCTCACTCTACATCAGAGAATTCATACAGGAGAGAAACCATATAAATGCTGTGATTGTAAGAAAGCATTCGCTACTTTGTCAACTCTCATTGGTCACCAGAGAACTCACACAGGAAAGAGGCCCTATAGATGCAGTGAATGTCAAAAAGCTTCACTCAGAAATCAGCTCTTATTAATCATCAGAAGACCCAGCATAAAGGAAGAAAGTCCTTCATGCAGTGACTTGGAATATGAGAAAGCTTTTTTGATTAGTCACATCAGCTCAGAGATAATAGAAGTTCCATGAATACTATGATTGTAATGGGCCCTTTTGGAACTCTTGTGGGAGAGAAACCTTATAGATGCAATGAATATTTTAAGCCTTCTTTTTTGAAGATCTCCCTCATTTACCATAGGGATCTCACCAAGAAGAATGATTGGCCAGGCGCAGTGGCTCATGCCTGTAATCTCAGCAATTTGGGAGGCTGAGGCAGGCGGATCACTTGAGGTTGGGAGTTCGAGACCAGCCTGGCCAACATGATGAAACCCTGTCCCCACTAAAAATACAAAAAAAAATTAGCCAGGTGTGGTGGTGCACGCCTGTAATCCTAACTACTCGGGAGGCTGAGGCAGGAGAATCTCTTGAACTTAGGAGGTGGAGGTTGCAGCAAGCTGAGATTGCACCAGTGCACTCCAGCCTGGGTGACAGAGTGAGACTCTGTCTCAAAAAAAAAAAAAAAAAAGGGTGGAGGAGAGAGAGAGTCATTATGAGTGCAGTTATTGTCAAAGGAGCTTATTAGAAAATGAGAGGCTTTGCATTTAGTAGGCAGCACCTGTGGATGTAATGAAAATGATGTCATTTTCAAATTATATTTGTTACACATTAGGGTATTCATTCAGGAGAAGGACCCTACAGATCGAGTGAATGCGGGAAAGCTAAGAAGAATCACACCTCATTGCAGGTAAAAATTAAAATCTCATGAACGTTTTTATAATGAGAACCTTCTCCAGAAAGTCAAAACTCTTTGAATATCTTGTTTAAGAGAGAACTCTCATAGATACAGTGAATGTGATTGTGATAAAGTCTTCCCAGTTAATGTTTATCTTCCTTATTGTAGCAAACTCATACAAGAGGAAACCCCTATTAATGCAGTAAATGTGGTAAAACCTTCATGTAGATACCAAAGGTCACTAATTATATCAGCAAACCCATGTAGTAGATAGGTCCTTCTGAAACGGAATGTGGAAAGCTTTTGAAAGTGACGTATACATCAGGTACTTAAATCAGAAGGGAAAATGATAGAGTTAAACTTGGCCATTGGCCACAAAACCCATTGCATAGCAGGAAAGAATTGCAGTGATTGTCTAAAACTCTTATTTAAAATTCAGAGCTCCTGAATTTTCCCCTAACTCACTTATCAGAGAGATCCTATTCTCAAAGAAGGCAATAATATTTAGGTTCAATGAGGTATAAAATCCTAATGGAGCCATATCTATTCTGCTTCAGCAGATTCATACATTTACCTAAAAGCTATGGTTATAGTCACAGGAAATAGTTTCTGTGGAGGATTAGATAGCATTAAGCATCATAAGTTTTTAAATATAGGAGCAGAATTTGCTCCATACAGAGATTTTATGAACACAGTGAAAGTGGTAAAAGCATCAGTGATAAGTTATTTTTTATTTCATGGATTCACTTCTTCACATCCTACCATGTCTTAAATTGTGAAGCATCTTGTGATCTGGAATGTCATAGCAATTGTCAGGGCTTTTTAAATGTGTGATGGCAGTTTAGATTTGAGTAATTACACTTGCCTGTATATATAATTTTACAATGGTTTTGCATTATTACAGAAAGGATTCCAGAAAATATTCTATAAATATTAGACATTTCATTGTCAAATATTCCTTTTGAATATATGAAAAATAAGAATATAATAAGGATTAGTCAAATAGTGACAAAGGATTTTAGGGGTTATGTTGTGGACTGTACTATGTGACATGGACTTTACATATTTATAAACTTTATTGTTTATTTGGAATCACACGAAGAAACAATTTTCAGGGTTAAAGAAATTCTCAACATAAGACAAAATGTTGAATAATACAATGTAGTGCAAATAAAATGTTTTTTTCTTATGAATCAAAATGTCTTGTAATACATAATTTGACTCATTATTAAGGAGTTTAAAGAATTATACCACGTAAGTGTGAATTCCTTATTTTTACTGTCATTTGTAGTATTTTTGCCAACTGTGATGATCCATCACAAGTAAAAGTTTACATTTTTCTAAAGCCTTGTGACTCTGAAACATCCAAAGATTATAAAAGATTTACCTAAAATTTTTAAAATCCAGCAACACATTAGAGTAATGGAAGAAAAAAGTGTGAGGTTATATGAGGTGAGTTTATGGCTATATATTTCAAGTTTGTGTCACACAGAAACTTTTGATTTGTTACGATAATATGCCATTGCTTTGGTGGTTCCTCAAAAAGTTAAATCCAGAATTACCGTATGACCCAGGAATTCCATTCCTAAGTAAAATACCCATGAGAATTGAAAACAGGTACTCAACCAAATATTTGTCCATGAATGTTTTTTAGCACTGTTCACAATAGCCAAAATGGCATTTGGTTGAAAAAACTCAAATGCTTATCGAAGGATGAATAAATAAAATGTGCTACATGCCTGTACATATGAATACATAAATGAATGTTCAGCTATACAAATGAATGAAGTACTGATGACATGTTGCATGAATGAGCCCCAAAAACATTATACTAAGTGAAAGAAGCCAAATGCAAATTCCACATTTTATACTTTCATTTTTATCAAATCCTCTGAATAGGTAAATCCATAGAGAAATAAAGCAAATTAATGGTTATTGGGCACTAGAGGGGAAGGGAGAATGGAAACCATCTGTATAGTATGTATGGGGTTTTCTTTTAGAATGATGAAAATGTTTTTGAACTAGTTAGAGATGGTGGTTGCATAATATTGTAAATGTACTAAACTTCACTGAATTGTACACTCTGAAATTGTTAATATTTGAATTTTTATATGAATAAAATTATATTTAAAAAGAAAAATATTGCGTGAACTCTGGCACTTCAAATATGGACTTTTTTTTTAACAAAATGAGACTTACTTGACTGAATCGTCTATAAAACTTCTAGTGAGTAGTTATTAAAAATCAAGGTTTTTATTACCTCCATGTGAAATACCTGACCTATTTTAGTTATCAGTGAAACCTATTGTTTTGCAAGGAATTCTATAAAAATGTACCAGCAAAATCTTGCTTATTTTTTTCTCTAGATTTTTGCCCCTTCCCCACTTTGTTTGACAGTTGTCAAGAAACCTTTTCTTCACCATTTTATTATGAAAATCTTCAGACATAAAGATGTTTAAGGAATACTAAAGTAAACACTAATCTGGATTTGACCATTGCAACATTTTTCTGTGTGTGTTTGTGTGTGTCATATATTCTGACAACCTCCTATTCACCCTGGTGGGTGAGGGAGGGATCCCCTACCCTAAATGGTATGGCATGGCTAAACACAACACCTGACACTGGCTAGTTGAAATTGACAGCAGTTTATTAGTCACAGATACTCACAGCCTGAGAGGGATGGTCATTGCATATAGGTATTGCACTCAGGAATAGAGTGAACAGGCACTTAGATTATGGGAAGTAGGCTTTATAGTAATGGAGAGGGTAATGTGCCCATGGTTTCCGTGGAAGAATGCAATTGCTTTGTATAATTCCATGGGCTGAATATCGATTGAGGACCATGTTGGGTGCAGCTTGTTCACCTGATTGGGGAGTTAGTTGGGTGGGAGCCTTTCCTGTGCAGTGGAAGCCTATCTGGTGAGAGTAAGGGAATTCAACGATAGGCCTTCAGGGCTCTGTAAAGCTCAAAGACTAAAAGCAGGCCAGACACAATGGCCTGCACCTGTAATCCCAGCACTTTGGGAGGCCAAGGTCGGAGGGTCCCTTGAGCCCCGGAGTTTGAGACCAGCCTGGGCAACACAGCAAGACTCCATCTCTATAAAATATTTAAAAATAATAATTTTAGGAAGATTTAAAAGCAGCATATGAGATAATAGGTTCTTAGAGTTCAGTGTGTGTGCCTGTGTGTGTGTGTGTGTACAGATATATATGTATCTTGTGTGTGTGTGTGCAGATATATATGTATCTATGTATTTCTGGTGAGCAGCCTGAAAGCTACGGTCACTTGCCACTTGAGCAGTTGTCCGGCAGTCACCCACCTGAGAGCTGGTGGATGGATGAAGTTCAAAGACAGCTTTGAAGAACATTGGTTTCTCCTGTTTTCTGTATTGGTTCACCAACCTACTAATAAAAATCTTTGTTCTTATACATGTGGAGGCCCTTCAGCATATCCCCAATTCTGTCAAGATAAGAAATTGTGGTCTATGCTCTTCTAAAAATCCTGAAACATCTACTACAAAATACATATTTATTCTCTTTTCTTCTTTTTTTTTTTTTTTTGGAGATGGAGTCTTGCTCTGTTGCCAGGCTGGAGTGCAGTGGCATGATCTCGGTTCACTGCAGCCTCCGGCTCCCAGGTTCAAGCAGTTCTCCAGCCTCAGCCTCCTGAATAGCTGGGACTACAGGCATGTGCCACCACACCCAGCTAATTTTTGTATTTTTAGAGAGGTGAGGTTTCACCATGTTGGCCAGGATGGTCTTGATCTCTTGACCTCGTGTTCTGCCTGTCTCGGCCTTCCAAAGTGCTGAGATTACACAAAATACACATTTCTGTTGACTTTCCCGGATGTTGTGTTCATGGGACTCATGGTTGGAGCTAGTATCTACATGGTACTCCTCCTACATAGACACCACTGGAGAGTGAGGCATATTCACACCCTCAGCAACTCCTACAGATTCTCCCCTGAGGCAAAAGCCATTCAAATCATGCTGCTTCTAGGAAGTACTTTCATTTTGTTTTACTTCTTCAATTTTGTCCTGCTCATTTATAATGCTGTTCTTTTCCAATCAAGCCTCTGGCTACAGCATACTACCACCTTTCAGACAGCATGTTATCCCTCCCTCAGCCCCCTGATCGTGATGCTTCGAGGTCCCCGAGCACCATGTTTCTGGTCTTAAATGGTGAAAAAAAAATCCAAAATTACTGACGGTCCTGTTCACAACAGTGTCTCTTCTTCAAAGAATCTGGTTATTGACTTAATAAAGCAAGGATTTGTGAAGGAAGCCAGCTTCTCCACACCTGTGGGTGTTTCTCGTCAAGTGGGACGAGAGACTGCGAAGAGAAATAATACACAGAGACAAAGTATAGAGAAAGAACAGTGGGCCCAGGGGACCAATGCTAGGCATTCGGAGGACCCGCGCCGGTACTGGTCTCTGAGTTCCCTCAGTATTTATTGATCACTATCTCTACCATCTCGGAGAGGGGGATGTGGCAGGACTATAGGGTAATAGTGGGGAGAGGGTCAGCAGGAAAACATGTAAGCAAAGGTCTCTGTGTCATAAATAAGTTTAAGGAAAGGTGCTGTGCTTTGATGTGCACATACACAAACATCTCAGTGCATTAAAGAGCTGTATTGCCGCCAGCATGTCTCACCTCCAGCCCTAAGGCGGTTTTCTCCTATCTCAGTAAATAGAGCACACAATCGAGTTTTACACCAAGACATTCCATTCCCAGGGACCTGCAGGAAACAGATGCCTTCCTCTTATCTCAGCTGCAAAGAGGCCTCCCTCTTTCACTCATCCTCCTCAGCACAGACCCTTAACGGGTGTCGGGCTGGGGAATAGTCAGGTCTTTCTCTTCCCACGAGGCCATATCTCAGGCAATCACATGGGGAGAAAGCTTGGACAATACCTGGCTTTCCTAGGCAGAGGTCCCTGTGGCCTTCTGCAGTGTATTGTGTCCCTGGGTACTCGAGATAGAGAATGGCGATGACTTTTACCAAGCATACTGCCTTCAAGCACTTTTTTAACAAAGCACATCCTGCACAGCCCTAAATCCATTAAACCTTGAGTCAACACAGCACATGTCTCTGCAAGCGCAGGGTTGGGGCTAGGGTTACAGATTAACAGCATCTCAAGGCAGAAGAATTTCTCTTAGTACAGAACAAAATGGAGTTCTTTATGTCTACTTCTTTCTACATAGACACAGTAACAGTCTGATCTGTCTTTCTTTTCCCCACAGATGTGTGGATGTCTAGAATATGACAGACATGCACCTAAGATATGGATAATTAAAGGATTTGCATGACATTGACTTAGCGACTAGAGGCTTTACTCAGAAGGCAGGCATACAACCAAATAAACACAAAACTGTGTGTTAGCATTATCCTGATGCTCTCTGTATTTTTCCTTTGAGATAACTTGATGGAAGCATGGAGGTGAGGTTGGGTAGAAATAATCTGGGGATATATTCAAATTTTTAACGGTTCATTAGCACAATTATTAAATTGGTGCAGTATTATGTATTGATAAACAGTAATGGCTTTGTGCATCAACTGTATAACCCATGGTAAACCATTTAATCATTAGAAGACTTAGGGTCTTTACTTGTAAAATTAATAAATTTTATCCTAGAGATTACTGCGCAAAAAATAAATTACGTGATAAGGCATGATGTCCAGAATAGCAGAGGCAAGGCCTCTGTATATCCATTCTTTCATTAAATCAACATAAATATTGTCACAGTCAAGTTTGGAAAATAACCAAAGCCTTACAGTATTTTGAACAGCATTTTTCTTTTTGAAGAAAAACATTTTGAACTTCATTAAAAATACTGGGGTATGTGGAATTTTGGCCTACTTCCATATCCCTTTCCCCAGATCTGCATTACCTTTGGAAAACAGCAGCCTCAGAACCACAGTAGCCATGAAAACCATCAGCCTTGCAATCACCACCCTTACATCAGAGGAGACAAATAAGCATGGAAGTCCTCAAAAAGCCTCATACTCAGAGCAATGTCATTATGTATGTTATCTTACAGCTCCATGATGCAGTTCCATTCTTTGTCCTAAGTCATTCTTTCACCTGACTCAAAGCTGACTTTGAAGGAAAAGTGCGATACTAGGGCACTGGTCAAAAAAAATCAGCTTCAATTGTTTAACGTTGTAGTAGCCTAAGCCTGCAGTACCGTTAGGGAGCAAACAGGAGCTCTGAAAAAATTGTTAAAGGGACATCTGAAGAAGAAGATGTTAATAGGGAGCTCTTGAATACTCTGACATATTCCTGAGGATCTAGAAGGCCCAACACATACACAGGGATGTGTGCATGCCCTTGAGATACCTGAGGGTACCAGTAGTTCACCTCTGGCTGATCTTGAAGCCCTTGAGAAGAAGGAAGAGAAGGCTAAAGTAGACTTATAAACTGCTTGAGCATTGAAGTAGACACACACACACACACATACACACACACACACAGTGCCCTCAGCAAAGAGTGGAAAACTTGCTCGAAGAAATGAAGGAAATCTTGATTAATCATTAGCTAACCAAGAAGAGACTTCAAGTGACTGCACACTGCAGGGAATACATGAATTACTCCAGGAATGCCACTAAACAAACTGCAGCAACAACAGCAACAATAAACCCTGGGCAGAGAGGGAATCTGATTTCCAAAGAAACAACTTTATATGATCTAAAATTTCTGTATTCAAGAAAAATTTGTGACACATAAAGAATCAGAAGTGTAGTCCATATTCAGGTAATGAGGTTGTCAACTGAAACTATCCCTGAGGAGGCTCATATGTCAGACTTTATATGCAAAGATTAAAAGTCAGCTATGTTAAATATGTTCAAGGAACTGAAATAAACCATGTATAAAGACCTATGAAGTAGCAACAAAGAGAACAGGTCTCAACAACAGATTCAAGCTGGCAGAAGAGAGAATAAGCAAACACGAAGCTGGGTCAATGGAAGTTATCCAGTCTGTGGAACATGAAGAAGTGAAACAGAAAAATAGTGAAAAACATAAAGAGAATGGACCCTCAGAAACATATGGTATACCTTCCAGCATACCAACATATATGTAATGTAAGTCTCAGAGCATGAATAAAGGGAATAAGGAACAGAATATTTGAAGAAATAATGGCCAAACTTTCCCAAATTTGATGAAAATTATTGTGTCCATCTAAGAAAGTCAATCAATTTCAAATAGGCTGGGCACAGTGGCTCTCACCTGTGAACCCAGTACTTTGGGAAGCCAAGATTGGAGGATTGCTTGAGTCCAGGAGTTCAAGAGAAGCATGGGTAACATAGCGAGACCTCACCTCTTAAAAAAAAAATGGCTGGGCATGGTGGTGTATGCCTGTAGTCCCAGCTACTCAGGAGACTGAGGCAGGAGGATTGCCTGAGCTCAGGAGGTCAAGACTGCAGTGAGCTATGATCATGCCACTGCACCCCATCTGGAGTGAGATCCTATCTCAAAAAAAAAAAAAAAAAAA